TAATGTTCTGCTTGTTTCAAATTTGGAGCTACTCTGTCAAGGAGATTGGTGGAAGATAATAGACTTTTCAAATTATCCTGCTCCCCATTGTTTTGCTTTTACTGCTGAGATGTATTTGAGGAGGATTAGGATCACATAGAACCCCTGGCAGTGTAGGCATGCTTATCTGTGCATTCCTAATGATTTGTTGTCATAATTACCTGTACTGATTGTCCCTGCAGATAGGTGGGTTTGGCACAGAAATTACTGGTGTATCTGACTGCTCTGTAATGCGTGTGAATGCAGTCTCTGGTAGTGTGGTATTGTTTGGGGGTTTTGTTTGATTTCCTCTAGTCCTATGCTGTTACTTTCACTGTGCAGGCAGTGAAAATTCAGTTGGCTGTTCAACTGGCTGGCTATAATAACGCTGTCAAGGTGCATCTGTTATCATGTTTAATATGAATGTTCTGCTCAGTGCAGCCTCGTGTTAGCAGAGAATCTGGACCTTGATTGATTGCAGTCTGTCTTGATTGCAGTTCTTTTTGTTTGTTTTTCCCAGTCACTCTTTAATGGTCATAAACCACTTGAAAATGAAAAACAATCCCAGCATCTTGAGCAACCTCACCTTTAGATGTTTTGATTTTTACAGAAGTAAAATACTGTGAACAGCAAGCCCAGAATTTCTAAGGCTGATGCCATTCCCTGCCTATGAGAAGAATATGTCACAGCTGCTTTAGGATGCAACTGATGGGAGCTGAGCCTGCTCTCTTAGCGGGGTTTGCTGCAGCAGGGTCAGGCAGGCTTTTCCTGTACTGTTATACACATTCCTGTCCTGATAACAGAATACTAGTGCATGGTACGAAGTTTTAAGTGGTTTTTGTTTGTTTCAATGTGAGTGATTTATTTTTTATGGTTGGTATTGTGTGTTGGAAGGAGATGATGTTGGAAATACAGTGAGGGACACTGGGTCCATGCATCTACTGCTGCCATTAACTGAGCCCCAGTGCTGCTAAGCAGTGGCACTTGGAAGCTCCACTGGTTTTTGTTTTCTTACTTCTAAGCATTCTCAGTCCTACTTTTTATGTTCTCATCTTATTCCCCATCTGTTTCATTCAACAGCTAAACACAGAGAACAGCTAAATTGTGCTTAAATTCTATTTACAACTAGTTTTTGGTTATTCTTCCCATGCAGGTATTGGACAGGGAGATTGATCTGATTTCTAAACTGCAGTTTATTGGGCTACTTCTTTTGGTTGTGCGGTTATCCAACTTTGTCTCACCCAAAAAAAGCTGTAGTTTACATCAATGTTCCATAATACCTCTGAGATCCGCTCTTAAGAACGATCATGCTCCTGAGGTGGTTCATGATGGGGAATTTGATCAAGTCAAGAGGGTCAGGGTTTACAGCAGTCTAAACTGTTCTAATTTGTAGACCTCCAGAAGTAAGGATGTGTCCTGAAATGAAGTGGGATATTGCAATTCCTCCACACTGAGGTTAAGACCCTAGTAAGTTGGTGAGAGACTGAATTCCATAGCTTTGTTATGGTGTTTAATAGCCACCTCATGGCTGATGAGTTTTGAGCTTGATGTTTCTGTGAGTGTGGCTGTATTTTGAGCACTCCAACTGTGGTATACTGGGACTGAAGCAAGCCAATATAGGAATTTATTAGGAATTCCCACAGGGTGTGCTTGGTATTTATAAGTTTGATTTTAAGAATGCTATAATTCTGTAAAATGAGGGAATATTTTTTCCAATAAAGCTGTTTAAAATTTTGCTTGCATGAAAGAGAACCTTGTAATATAGGTGTTTGGGCTGTGTTTATGAGACTTTTTCCATTGATTCTTTATTTTCTGTTATCTGACCACCTTGAAGAGCTAAAGAAGACATATATATTATGTATACACTCCTGAGGTAAAGTACCTCACCAAAACACAAGCTGGGCCATACTGAGTCATACCACAGGTCCATCTAGGCCAGTATCCTGACCTAAGTTGGCTAATAATGGGTATCTAGGATAGAGAATAAAAGCTGGAAAGGCATATAAAATGACTCCTCAGACTGCTCTTGCCACTTTCAGTGAACTAGTGAACATGGGGTTTTTTTGCATTTCTTTTATTATAAATGCCAAGACTAAATTTATAAAGCTCTCAAGTTTATATGTTTATAAAGTTTGCATAGTTGGCTGAAGGAGATATCAGTATGGAAGAACTGATTTCACATTTCTTCATGCTGAGATTGGCCAAGAGATAGAATTTGGTCCTACTGTTGTCACCGTTTATTTCTCAGCTGCTTTCCTTTGTGCTTCATTTTCTATTTCTAGGAAGGCAGTTTTAGAGTATCTTAGGCTTGCTTAGCTCCCTTGCATGACTTCATGGGACAGGAGTACAAGAATTTCTTGACATCCTGTCCATCTCCTACAGGAAAAGACAAACTGAAAGTTCTTGTTTTCACAGTCACTGTACTTTAAATTATGTCTTTTTATATTCAGTGGTCAATACATTTCAAAGGTAAGGAGAGTGGTGCAGTGTCTGGGTTTAAGATGCTTGGGTAACATTTAACATGCAGAAATGATGCTCTCTGCAGTGTACTGAGGAGGAGAGTTATTGCCTTACCATTCTCACACTGACCATCTCTTGCCTCTTCTGTTCTGATGGTTTTTGCACAAAGGTACCTTCATCCCTTCTTTTGCCCCTTGTGATCCTGGCTTTTTCAGTTAATGTGTTATGTCTTGCTGTAGATGTAGATAATGATAGGCCCGAGCATGTTTCTGCAGTATTTGTACTACCTCAGGAATAAAGTTTGGATTTGTGCTGCTACTGTGATCTAAAACAGCTTGGAATTTGTTTCAGACTATAATTAAATTGGCATTTGCTTTGGCTGCATTACTCTAGCGATACCAGAGCATATCTATAAACTTAGTTCTGTAATTCCATATTGCCAAATGGCTGCTGTTCCTTGTATTACCCAGGAGGATTTTATTCTATTTCAAAGCCAGGTTCCTTTAAATAAGAGACATGATATCTTTGTACACATGTATTAAAATTCTGATAAAGGAAAGTGGAATAGTGCACCAGGGAAAGTGATTGTACCTTGCCTGGCTTTGAGTGCTCATGGATTTTCATGCTTGGTCTCTACGCTAAAATTATTCCTTGGGATTACTTTCCACCATAGTCACCAGACTGAAATCCTACTATGCACGTGCATCGCTGAAGTGATGAAGTGATAAAATGAAGAGACCTTCAAGAGTAGGGAGGGGATACTTACTTCTGTGTTAATGTTTGTAATATTAAAAGCTTGGGGCAGTCTATAATTAACTAACTTTTCTTTAAATACCAGAAGAAAAGCCAGCATTAAGGGACATTTTTGCAGGGGTTCTCTGTCCTGTGCCTCCTGAGGTGATGGGTAGGTAGGTTATGTGCTCGGTGCTCACTGGTAGTTTAGGGATGGCCAGTTCAGGTGTTCTGGTGAGCATAAAGGAACTTGGAAATGGCGTTCCACTTGCTCATTAGAAGAAGCACAAATGTTGTGCTGCCAAACACAGCAGGTACTTTCTCTTACCAGTTTCTTACTTCAGCACCTGATAATTGAAAGCACAGCTCCCCCATACGGATGCAGGCCTCTTTCAGTGAGAATTCTGAACATTTTCCAGCACCTTTCCTCTGAATCTCTTTAATGCCCATTTTTTCTTATTTCTCTTCTATCATTTTGATTGTCCTTTAGCAGATGTTGGATTGAACATTTCTCAGCAGCCCTCTTGCTGAGTTAGTCTGCTGCTCTTTTTTTTCATGCCATTATCTTCTATATCTGGAATGAAATCTTCTTTTGTGAAGATTTTTATAAGATCTCTGAGATCTTTTGTTTATGTTTTGTTTTCTTGCACTTTTGACATACTTCTGCCTGGTGCTTCCTTGTGCACACTACATGCTGGCCACTTCATAGCCTTCCCTCTCAGTCCTTTTATTGTTAGGGAATGAGTTCTTTTCTCTATTTGAGCTCATAATTAACTGGTAACTTTTTTCCCTTTTTGGTGGACCTGAAGAAATGTGGTGGTTCAATAATCAGCTCCAGTATTTTTTAAAATTTGATATTTTAATCTAAGTCTGCAACCAGACTGCTACAGTAACACTTCTTTTTAGAAAGGAAAATATTCATATTTTTGGGGAATGACAACAGAATTGCCAACATCTATGCCTAGTAAAAGACCCAGCCTACTTCTAAGGCCAGTAAAATATCTGAGAAGATATTTATTAGGCCTCTTTCATTCATTTTCCTCTAGGAATGCTGAGTTAATGTGTTTCTGAAAGCAATTTTTGCAGATTTATAACAAAAAGCCCTTAAAATGAATACCAACATAGGCTATCTGGATCTCCATATGAAGGCAGGAAGAAGGGGCAAGAACACCACAAGCACAAGTTATCTCTCTGTATTTTAATTTGATCATCTTTAGCACTATGTAGGGTATGAGGAGGACTAACTTATATCTGGCTTTTCTAACCTTCCCCATCTGCTCTGCTTGGCTGTTCATGAGAATGATGTGTTTGTAACCCTGGCCCTGTCCTCCTACCCTATTCAGACTTTTTAGGCTTATTAAATGCAATACCTGGCAAACCTTTCTGATTTGTGTGGGATGTCATCCAATGCGAGCCATAAAAACTGCTGAGGTAGCAGCTGCTCTACTAAAGCAAGACTTCTTTACCTGGTAACAGTAAGAGCCCTTACAACATTTTGGTGTTGTATTCTCATTGCATTGTCAAGCCCAAAAGCCCTGGACTCTCCTGCATGGCATAGCTGGTAATTGTCACCCTTTAGTTTGTGCTGCTGACTTGGAGCAGGATTGTGTCTGTCAGGTTGTGCATGGAGTGAGCTCAGGTGTTTGAAGGGTGAGTTTGCCTTCTTTCCTATGAGGCAGTTCTGATTTAGTCATAAGCAAGACCTGTGGAAATGCAGCATGTACTTATACTGCGACCTGTAATAATTTTGTCATTGATTCCCCCTGCCCCTCCTTTTTTTTTTTTCCCAGATAAATGGCTCATTTAAACTGGGAGCTACTGAAATACCCTCTGGCTGGCAAATGCAGTGCCTAGCAGCAGTCGTCAAGGACGAACCAAACATGAGTGGTGGAGGGGAACAGGTCGACATTCTCCCAACCAACTACGTGGTCAAAGATCGCTGGAAAGTGGTGAGTAGCTCTGGCTTTAACGGCCCAAACAGACCTCCTCGTCCTCCAGCTGCAGTAGCACAGCAACTTCCCTACTCAATCCTGGCCTCTGGCGGGCAACAGTGGAGTCCTAGGGTTTGACATGTTAGCAAGATACTGCAGGAAGAAGGGTTTTAGAGTGGTATTTTCAGAAGGCTAAAACTGCCAAGGATTTTTAGGTAGGATTGGGCTGTTGCAGAAGATTGAGTAATGTTTTAGTAGGAAACTTAGATTTCAAATTACTGTGGGAAAGAATACTACAGACACGACTATAAATAAATTGCATTATAATAAAATAGTGTAACACCAAATGTTTTGGGTTGGAACATCAGCTACTTCAAGAGTCAGAAAGTCCATGATTAACTAACTGGTTCAACTTTTGTGTAAATTTATTAGGATACTTCTTAAAATTATATCACCATATGTTAAGTGCTTTAGTTCTTGCCTCATTGTGCAAGCTGGACAGGCTTTGCTTTTAAAATGCTGAAAAAACATTTAGATCTCATGTATCCCATTGTCCTAATTTTGAACTGGGATTACTAGCATTCTCTGAATCACTAAACTCCCAGCAGAAGCCTCCCTAGTTTGAACTACAAGTGATTTGCAGTAGTAGCGCTGAGTTGTTCTTCATGGTGACTGGCTGTGGTACAGTGGCCCTGTGAGTTTTGCAGTGGAGTGTGGAGAGCAGAGGACTAAAGAAGCTTGGGACTCTGAATTCACTTCAGTTCCAGGCTGTAGATAGCTTATTTTTCAGTAGCCCACTTCAGACAAAACATTATCCTTTCATTAGACCCAGCCCTGTTCTTGTTGCTCCCTATTGCCTGTCTCTCTTCACTTTGTTCCAGCTTTCTCCACAGCCTTCACTTTTCTGTCTGGCCTAGTGCTGAACAGGCTATTTATATTTAAGCAATTCAAACTGTTCTTCATTCTCCTGGCTTCTTGAGAGCAGATGGAGAAGCTCAGTTTTTCTGTGATTAAACAACAAAATAGAGACAACCCTTTTGCCCCTCCCAAAACTTTCTGTCACAGCTGAAGGAAAGCTTTGCTGTGCCCCTGCAGCTCTGGACTGGAGCACTTGTACTTGGAGGGATGATCCATGGGCAGGTTAATTGACATATAGGACTTGAAACATGCCCTGTGCTTACTAGTGTCTCAGACAATAATGGTTGCAGCTTTTATCTGTCTCTCCCTGCACAAATGGAAGTTTCCCCAGAGCCTGAAATCTGGTCAAACTTGTGCATGTTCTTTGCCAAGCTGAATTTCAGCACTCTCCTGTTGCCTTTGCTTCAGGTGCATGATTGCTAATACTCATTCCTCCTTAACAGGAGGAAGAACTCGTTTACATTGAGGGCGGCAGAGGAGTGGAACAGGCTGCCCAGGGAGATTGTGGAGTCTCCTTCTATGGAGACATTCCAAACCGACCTTGATGGGTTCTTGTGTCACCAGCTCTAGGTGACCATGTCATGGCAGAGGGGTTGGACTACATGATCTCCAGAGGTCTCTTCCAACCCAGACAGTTCTGTGATTCTGAGATTCTCTGTTCTCCTTTACCTTGGCTAACTTTAGCTTGTACCATTCTCTATTAATCAAACTTGGAGTCTTCTCTGTAGATGAGAGTGCTATAACTACTGTAAATGATGGGAGTATTTTTGTAAGAAGTCTAAACAAAGTAACTTCATTCTTGGCAACAGCAAAACTCTTACAAGCACCAAAAACTCCAAATAAAGTCTAAAATATGCTCTGTGATGCTCACAGGGAACATTTCAAACAAATTTTAAAGTTGGTAAAGGTACTAAATGTGAGGTTCAATGCTTCATCATTGCATGAATCTGTGACTGGGGTCCACTAGAAGCTCTACCCACTAACTTTGCCTTAGAAAATATAAAAATATGCAGCTGTATTCTCAACAACAACTACTTCTAATTAGAGGAATAACCTTTTATGTTTTATAATGTCTCACAGTAGCCTTAAATGCTGCAGTGAGGTCATTGCCCCATTTGAAGTCTCTGAGAAATGACATGACTTGCTAAAGGCTGTAAATAGCAATGAGAAATCTTTTTTCCCATTTCTGAGTAGAGCTGGAATTTGACCATGTGCTAGCTGACTTGTGCATTGTGAACCTTCATTGAGTAGTCATTCCCCCCACCCCAAAAAAAAAGTGTGAAGTGCAGACCCTTTCCTTTTAGGCAGGCCTTCTGTGCCTTCCCTTTGCTTTAAGCTGGTGTGGAACCAGTCAAAACCATGAGCTGTGGGGGGCTTGGAGTAATCTAGAAAAACTATGAAAATACTTCTGGTGGCCCAAGGAAATGGACAGTGTAGGATCAAGTGACCGAGGAAAAAGGGACTGTACCTTAAAGTGAGTATAGACCTGTAATATCAGGAGTAGCATTTTTTTCTGTTTGTCACAGATCTTTCTGAATCTAATCCAGAATGTGCCAGCTGTATGGTCCAATCTTTGCTGTGGGTGATGGATCCTGCTCAAGCAGGTGTGTGGCATATTTATGTGATGCTGGGGTGCAACTGCCAGAAGGTCTTGTGTAATTTGTCCTCCCACTGTCTCTGGCTGGGCATCTGCTTGAACCTTGTAGTTCTTAGTGCTGGCATACTTCCATTATTGAGCCGATTTCTAATTTTAGATTGGTGTAATGTATTCCTTGAATTCCTTTCCTCCTTTCTGCTGGCTGACAAAGCTTTGACAAATGAAGGTGCTAGTTCTCTGCAGTTAACCTGCTGGCAGTTCATTTTCCTGTCACTCCAAGTCAGTAAAGTTTGGCTGTCTGACAGCAGTAATATTTTTGTTCTTATTTATGAAAAAAGACATGGACAGGATGTGCTTATGGTTTTTATCAAAATTTGTCGATTTAGAAGTATTCTTTTTAGTTTTCTTTATTTGCAGATATTTTTGATGCTTTGATTAGATGAAATTTGGACAGTACTGGAGCCACATGTCTTTTGCTGAGTCTCCAGAGGGTCTTGATCCACATGTGCTATGAATGATGTGAATAGTTTTGTTCAGGGGAGGGAACAAAGTCATACATAAATTATACTTGCTTTGAACTAGGTATGGATGTTAAAGCTGAATTTTGATGTATCTCTTTATTTTGCATAAATGCCTTTTACTGGGGATGCACAACTGACACTTATTAGCAAGACAGAGTCAGCAGCTCCTGCACTGAGCTTTGAACACAAATGATGACTCGTGTACATGTGAATGTTTTCTTGCTAGGTGCAATCTATGTTTTGTTTTCTTTCAGATTTCTGAGCTTCTTGATCTGAAGGTCTCCTGTTTATTTTGGAAAACTTGCTGGAAACCCCACAAAACTTTCATGGATTCTTTGCCTTGTCTTGTTTAGAAAGGCCATATATGATTCCAAGAGAGAGCCTGGGACAAGGAAAGCTCTTTGTCAGACTTAGGGCCTGTTTTGGTCTCACTCTGATTTGGTCTCACTCTGAATTGCTTTAAGTGACAGGCTGTGACAGGTCTTCAGATGATTTAGAATGTGGCTGGCTGAGTTCTTGATTGGCTTCTCAGTTCATGCGTGTTTTACATGAGATTGCTTCCCTTGAGGTCAGATCCAGTCCTCTTCAGCAGGTGGAGTGGACTCTGGAGAGTTCGATGAACAAAGGTCAACTCTTCCTCAGCTGTTAATCAAATGAGGCCTACTGGCCATTTCTGGATCAAGTAGCTCATTGAGTTGGGCTGCAGGAGTTGCAGGCTTGGCTATCCAAGTGCTCCTAGGAGACAGCCACAGTGGTCACTGTTTGACCTTGTCAAATCTTTGAAGCCTGTGGATGACAGCCTTGACCCTGGCTGAGTTCACTAAAGGTTGCTGACTTTTCATTTGGTCCTTTGCCCTGGATTTAGAGCACACATTCCTTTGCATTGCCACAATCCTGACACCAAACCATTCCTTCCTTGTTCTGGGAATGTTATCCTGGGAAGGTCTAGTCTTTATATAATATACTTGGAAGGCAGACTGTTAAGAGCAGTGGTGTTGTATATGCTTCTGGAATAAAAGATTAAATTTATATTCAAGCCTATTTTTGGCTGGGGTTGTTTGTTACCTTGGTTTTTTGAACTGTGTCTGAAAGTACTGATTTTTGCTTAGTGAGAAGACTGCATGTTGCTGTTGTTATTTTGGGGTTTTTTTAGTAGGCTTTGGAAAATTGTGCTACAAGAGTCTTTTTCAGGATAAATCCAAAATATTTCAGAATATTTAAAGGAGACTTCAAAGGGAGCCATCTGTGTCCAAGTCCAAATACCTACCTGTTTGATCAGATGAACTATTCACTTGATTCCACAGTCTGAAATTGGCAGCTGGGCACCAGTCTGGAATTGGCAGCTGGGCACCCAGCTCACACAGGGGCTCATGCAATTAGGTGAATGAATCCTGCTGGTGTTGGCAGCCTGTATCCCAGTCATAACAGTAAGTGGGCTGTAGCAGGTAGGAAACAGGACGAGAAGAGAATATCCCCAAGGCAGTGAGGCTTCACATGGGCTGATGATGACTCACGATTACCACTTAGGTCATTCTAGTTAGATGTTTCATTCTCTTCCTTGACTTTGTGTTTGCAGTTTCATTACTGGTTTGAGGTTTTTTGAGTGGTATGTGCCCATCTCTCCTCTGTGTCCAACAGAAGGCTGTCCTGAGTTCACCTTTGAAAGTAAACTCCCACGGACCACCCAGACAATGAGGCAAGGAATGTGTCATAAGCCCCTGACCTCAACCAAAATCTTGACTTACAACAACTTGCTCTGGAACAAAGCAAAGGAAATGCTGCTGATGGCTTCTGGATGTTGCCGAAAAATCAAGAAGTGTAGCAGTGCTAGTGGTGATGTTGAATGGATGGTACTATCTGGTGTGCTGTAAAAAGTATACCAGAGAATAATTTCCATAAGAGTGTGATCACAGATGTAAGGAAGCAAAGGCAGCTTTGACAGCCTTCCATTGGCTGGAATGTGTGTATAAAATCAGTTTTCTGATTCAGCAGAACCTTTGATCTTGATCTCCTGTGCTCTCCCGTTTGTTTCTCTGTAGACCTTTATGTGTCCTCCAGTTTGGTTGTTTTACCAGGTGTGCAGTCTCAGTATTGTACTTTTTTTCCTGAACCTGCTTCTCTGATGCATACGTTCCTTTGCTTTTTCTGAGGTAACCATCCTAGCCTGTCCTCAGTTTTTCCAGACTCCTGATCATTCTTTTAGTCCTAAAATGAACGACTCCTAATTCAATGAGAGCTTCTAGAGCGAGATGTTCAATATTGTGCATCATATGTGAGTAGACCTTCTGACAGATCCTATCCTAGTGTCCTGGTTTAGGGCAAATTTGGGAGGAAACCTCTGAATGGGGCCCCTCTAGGAAGGAGATTCAAGCAGTCCCTCCCCCAGTTGGCTCGGGAAAAAAAATTTCCTCGGAGAGAAGTGGAAAAAGAAAAACTCTTTATTCAACAGGCAACAACACACCTCCCAGCACAAAAAATGAACAATACCAAACAGCAAAACCTCTCGCCGTTCCAAAGAGATGAATTTAGAAGAGTTCTTTCTGTGGGCTGCCTGGCTCGCTCAGGCTGTTCTCAGTCCCTCTGGTGCTGTGGAATGCCGCGGCCCAGGCCAGGCCAGGTGGGCCACAGGTGTGAGCTCCTGGTGCTCTTCTGGATTTTCAGTCCAGAACAGGTTCAAACAGTTCCAGGAAAAGGGAAAATTAAAAAATAAACACAATCCAGGGAGCTTCTCTGCCTCAGCTAGCCAGAAAAACTAACCCAAAGCAAAAAGAACTCTCTCCCACTGTCCACCGCAGACAACACAGTCTCTGAGCAGCGATGTGGGGGAGCCAGTGCAGTCTCTGATAACAAACTCTGCACTTCTTCTTTCCCCCCTTCACTCCTGGAACCAGTCTTAAAGTTGCAGAATTTAATATTCAACACCAACAGAACAGATGGCTTGGGAATACAGACATCATACAGTCACACCAAGACACCTAGTCGTATTGCTGTGCTGTTCCATTTGTATTGCGATACCTTTGTATTTTCACAACTGTGTTGGACCGTCACAGCTGTTCCTGTTAGGGCCAATGAATTGAAAAGGATCATTCTGTGTGTCTGTGCTGGCTCAGCAATATTTCTCCCCAGATCTATTTCTTGAATTAATCTACACAGTGAGATGTTTGGGTGCCTATATTTTTTCTCCATCCCAGATATGCTGTATTGTATTTTTCACTATTGACTTTTGCTTCCTGTCTTACCCGTTTTCTGCCTGAGGGTTTTTCAATCTTCCTCAAAGTCCCTCCAGAACCCAATTTACCTTTCTGCCTTCTGTATCTTTTACTGTCCCTTCCCCTTTCTCATGAATATATCAGACCACAGAAGATCTCGTGTACTGAATCCTGAGGTATTTGCTGACATGTTGTTGCTGTTTTGAAAGAAAGATTTTTAATAGCCAGTTCACTTAGTGTGAATTTCCAAGTGGAAGTAGGGCTGCACTGTAATAATTTATGAATAGTCTGTGGTGACCTAGTTATTGGCTGTTTACTGTGTGAATATGCCTGTTTAGCCCCATGGAAGGTCATGAAGAAAAATAACAAGAAGTTGCTCTGGACAGCAACTTTCAAAGGGTTATCAAGTAATAGCTTCAGAGACAAGGCTAGCTGTCAAGCTGTTAGTATGGAAAACACTTCCTTCTTCATCTGGAGACTGTTTTTCTTGACCTGGGAGCCAGAAAAACAAATTATTTGGGTCACCTTTGGGAGGAAAAAACCCTGCCCTTGGTGTAGGTAGGGCCGTTTGTTCAACAAACTGGACAGATGCACAGGACAGGCATTTGGTGGTACAGAAGACACTAAAATATCATATAAATCTCATTAAATATTGTGTAACATCCATGTTTGACTATCTGTCTGACTGAAACTACTTTTCATCTCTGAGTGTTACTGCTGCTGTTGGAAAGAAGTGGCACTCAGGACTTCCAGAGCAGTTGTTAACAGAGGGAACACAAAATGCTGAAGGCAAGAGCTGCAGTTTGGTTCAATGAACAAGTGCTAAGCAGATCAAGGGAGCCCTGATCTATCTCTGCTGTAAACCTGAATTTCCTCCTGGGCAGCACAGTAGGCTTTAAATATATATATCTAAGAGAAACAAATATAAAACTATTTTCCCGGCATAGACATTGACTCTTGCAACACATGAGGAGTCTGTACTATACATGGTTATATGTAACTATACGCACATATGCTGTCAAGTCTCAGCAGGAGGAGGATCAAGGAATCACCTTCCGGGAAAGGCAGAGGATCCTGACTTGCTCTCTGAATCTCTAACTTACTCTAGAACAGGCAGACAGTCTAGAAGGTATATATCAAATATGCTGAAACTTAGACATCTTCAGCTTTGAGTTTATGTCAACTGAAGTTGTGGATTCCTATTGTGAAACAGTCTTTAATTTTGCTCAGAGACACAAAAAGCGTAATTTGAGTGGGTTTGAAACTAAAGAGAAAAAGAGATTGAGAAAGAATGGGAGTTGTACTGGTGGCTTGTGCACAACTGTTTTGAGGTAATGCTGTTGGCAGTTCTTTGAAATGTGACACTGAAGTAACTTCACTACCAGAGCAGGTACAACATCTTGTAAAAGATTCCAGTGGATGTTTTGTTCTGTTTTTTAAGTCTTTTGAAGGAGATGTAAACTTCATTTAACTTACTTCTTGAAAGATTAGTTCCAACTACCATGGTTATGTTTTATTGCAGGGATGCGTATTTGTTGGGGAGGAATGACAGTTTGCATCTACCATGGTGTGGACAGTGGTTCTGCTATTTCCTTGAAGAGTCTTTCCCTGAATTTTGGCAAGAACATCATGGAGGCGATAGGCATTGTCATTTGCTTTTAAAAGTATCACCTGTCATTACTTGCTAGGCTTGTTCTTGGTTGTTAGAGCAAAAATTTTATACATAGTACAGTCGAGTGGGTAGCTGGACTTTGGCCAAGCTGTGCAGTGAAGGGATTCAGGCACAGCACAGATTGGGAGCTGAGCTTATTCTCCCTATGCAGTCGAGGAGCTGGCTTCATGAGAGCCAGCTTCATATTCCCTCTTGTGTACATTGTACCAAACCTCTTTGTATTTTTCCAGCTGAAGAAGATAGGTGGAGGTGGCTTTGGGGAGATCTATGAGGCGATGGATTTGCTGACCCGTGAGAATGTGGCCTTGAAGGTGGAATCAGCTCAGCAGCCCAAGCAAGTTCTCAAGATGGAAGTGGCTGTCCTGAAAAAGCTGCAAGGTAAGGCAAAAAGCCCTTTGGAAGTGCTACAAGTCACTGTGTGTGTTAACAACTAGAATCCAAAGTTGCAAATGGTTTTTATCGTTTCCTCTTCAGCTTCCATCTATATGTGATGTCACGTTAAGTCATCCAGCTCAGAAAGTTGTTAAATTCTGCAACTCAAGTGAGATCCAACAACAGGGACTATTTTGTCTGCCAGAATATAAGGACAATGATCAGACTTAGGCTGAACTACTGGTCCACTTTTCTGTGCAATCTAGTGATACTGGTTAGAAAATAAGGACTAGAGAAAGCAGTGTCTGACTAAGAAATGAGGTTGCCTCCCAGAGGACCTGGAGCACTGAAACATGACAGAATCTCCAAGTAAAACGGTTGACTAGTAGAGGAGTTCAAAAACTGGACAAAAGAAAATATAGGGAAACTGACTATTAGTTAATTTTTCATGTATCTCAGTGTCCTGGAGGCCAAACGTTAAGTGGTGTGCCTATTCTTAATGAGAGTGCAAGGGAGCTGTTCCCAGCTAAAGGAGGGGGGCTTCTACTAAAAAGATTGCTATGGAGGGATGTAAACAAGGAATTTCTAAATCTTCCTTTGAGGAACTGACAGCTGCTGTTGGCTGAAGAGCACTGTGCATAGATTTCCTTTTTAAGGCAAAGCCAGCTATTGCCAGGTACAGTTTATGTGTTATAGTATAATATACATTTGAAGGGATGTTCCTTTCTGTAGGATTCCCACTTGGGCTGAGGAAACACCTGCTGAAGCAGTGAGTAGGATCCTTATCACTAGGGCTCATACTTCAGAGATTATGTTGTGGCCCATGAGTCTATCCCTTTGCCTTTGTACAAAATCTCCAGAGAGATGATTTAATTTGAAGATGAGAATGTTGCAGGCCTTGTGAAACAAATTACTCAGTGTTCATGACAGATCGCCTTTAGGTAAAAGCCAGTGAATTATTTTTGAAGGTCAAATCATTTTCCACATTTCAACTCTCCCAAGAGGAGAGCTGATAAAGCCTCTTTTGAATGCTCTGGATTGTAATAGATGCAGCTGAGCTGTATAAAGAAGAAATCAGCACAGGTCATTATGAGGACTCACGTTGATCTGTGAAAGGCCTGGATACAAGCTCCCAGAGAACAGCAGAATGGGTGTCTGAGGTCTGAGCATACTGCCATGAGAGATGTTTTGAGATTTTTTTGTTTGGTTGTACACTTGAAACTGCTCTAAATTGAGTGAGGGTATGACTGTGCAGAATGATGGGATTTTTAGGGTACCACGAGACAATGCTGTCATGGTGGCCAGTGCCAATAGGTGTTGCATCCAGGGCAGGGAATTCTTGAAAAGCATGACCTGAAATCACTAACCAGGACTAGCATCAGAAAATGTGCAAGGTATTGACTAATATTTGTGTTTATTTCTGGAAGATTGTTGAGAATACCAAATTCTTGAAAAAACACCCACATTTGTGTACAGGATGATGCTAGTAACTGGGGAGGGGGAGTGGTGGTATATGGAACTAGGAAAATCCCCTTGGCAAAGCACTTAGTAAATGTTCAGGGAAGGGACAGAAAAGACAGAAGCAGAATTGGCTGTGCATCAGCTATCCTGCACGTAAGAATAACAAATTACTTCAGCCATGTTTTTAGAAATCAAGCTGTTCTGTGAGGAACTTAGCTTTTTTTGGTTGAAGGTTAGTCCCCAAATGCTTAACTGAAATAATGATAAAGTTAAAATAAGAAATTGGGTTGAGAGCATGGGGAATCTATATTGTATATGTTTTCACTGTGAATGTTGCAAAGAGGTGAGAAACATTTCAGAAAGGGAGGTGCTGCCTTTTTCCAACAGTTGGTGAGTGGAATAAGTTTTTGGTATTACCATAGATGATACAGTCAATTCATGGATTTCCAGATGAAAACCAAGGGAGCAATGTTGTCTGAGATTCCTCTGTACTTTTCTGGTAGAATTGAAAACTGCAGTCCTTTTTAAGTAGTGCAGCTTTATTGTTTTCTATTTAGGTGTCACACCAACCTTAAAGGACTAATGAACGAGCTGCTGCTCTATCCAGAGCTTGTGATCAGAATCTTACAAGTTGCTAGAGCTTGGCAGAGTTTGGGGCACAGAAGGTTGGCCATTGGCCCATACTGCAGACCTGGTTTGGGTACAGCCTGACGTTTGAGTGCAGTAGCTCCTGGTTGGTGTGGACTGTAGGCTGTTGCCAGCAGTTAGGCTTTCTGAGACAGTTTGTGGAATACCTACATAGGGAACACAGCTGCAGGTAAATCCCTCACAATGTCCTTCCTGCACTAGCAATCCACACAGAGCAGCTGGGGAACCAATCAAGTAATGACCTTGCTGGTTTCACCTAGAGGGGAGAAACTCAGAGAGAGGTTCTCTCTGTGAGAACTCCCTCTGGGCATTGATAGTGACCAATTGAAGGCTGGTTTGGTTATTGACAGCCTGAACAACCAATTGGAGAAAGTTAGTTTGCTCCGTGAACACACATTTCGAAGGAGATAACCTTGAATTGAGCTCTTTTTCTTTTCCGGCAGCAGTGCAGGTAACACCGGCCCAGCCTGGCTGAACTGCAGGCCTGACGGGGGGCAGGGCCGGGCCCCCCTATCTGGGGAGCTGGCATGGCCTGGTAGAGAGGAGGGGTGGCCATGGGCAGTGGCCAGGGAGACTCAGGCTGATTTAAGATCCCAGCCGCTTTTCCCCACTTCTCCTTTTCCAGTGGGGCCAAGTTTTCTGAGATTTTGGCACAGCTCCAGCATTGTAGCCTTAGTTTTTTTCCTTTTCCCTGTGTGAAATCTTAACTCTTTCAATGCTCAGATGAGACTTGCAGACTTTTCAGTCCTTCCCGCCGTGAGAAGGGAAAGAGGAGATACTCCAAAGTCAGTGAAGCAAAGAGCTAAGTTATTTTAGATGGAAGGAGAATGAGGAGATGCTGTGAAAATGGCTGAAAATATCCTTTTGTACGTTGTAGGGATGAACTGATATTACATTGAATATTCCTATAAACCATGGAGAAAAAAAGACATGGGGGGTTGGAGTGTTCCATTTGATAGATCATGTGACTAAAAGTACCTGTGTTGAGAATCTTTGCCCTGAGGAAAGAAGGGGATCTCGGTTTTCTGAGGATGAAGCATAAACAGAGAGAAAAGAGACGAAGAGAACTTTTGCTTTGGAACAATTAATTCTTAAAAGTAACACCCCATGAGTTTAACATGGCCTGTAGACACAGCTTTAGAAAAGCTGTGACGATGGGAGGAGCTTCACGACTTTGCAAGTTTTTTCTGGGCGGATGCAAATTGTGAAAATAAAGCCATAAGAGGACTGTTTTCTTCCTCCTTGTGGAGAAATCCCTATAGCCTAACAAGAGGCAACTTCTCTCTCCGAAGTGAACTGAAGAAAAGAACTATTCAAGTTGGGAACTGACTGAAGTAGTTTTTTGTATGTTTGTTTTGTTATTATGAAGGTAGGGAGAGGGAAGGAAGGGGTGATCTGAAAATCTTATTCTGAATTTGTTTTTTTTTCCTTCTTTGTGTAGTTAATAAATTTCTTTTTATACCCTTTTAAGTTTTAGGCCTGCCTTGCTTCTGCTCCTGGTTCTGTCTCACAACAGAAAATGAGTATATTTAAATTGGCAAATCAAAACTATGACATGACCCTTCTAAAGAGTTTCTGTACCTTCTAATAAACACCGTGTTTCTAAAGAGTTTCTGTACCTTCTAATAAACACCGTGTTTAGTTTTCTGCTGTAGGGTGGTCATGTGCTGGAACAGGTACCCAGAGAGATGGTTGAAGATGTTGAAAACCCAGCTGGATGTGACCTCAGACAACCTGCTCTAGCTGTCTCTGCTTGAACAGGGACATGGACTGGATGATCTTAAGAGGTGCCTTCCAACATAAATGGTTCTGAGATACTTGAGCTTGGCTGTGTGAGATCATTGCCACATCAGCATCTCTCACCTGCTCTGTAGAGTCATTTTGTTCTGCTCATACTTGATTTGAATCTCTAGATGTATAGTGTGTTTTCTGCATCTATTTAGATATCAATATGATTCCCAAAGGCAAAGTTCTTTCTAATTTTCATCATTACTTACAGGGATCATAAATCACCTTCTGACCAAACTTCCAAATCTGTTCACTGTCTTGAGTCTGTGAAGCATCAGCAATGGTGCCCTTTTATGGTGAAACACAACTCAGAGGTCAGCTTAAGGAGTTTCTTGCTCCTGCTGGTGATGAGCTGAAGCTCTCAGTTGTCCTGTTGTAGCACTTTTACCCAAGAAGTTTTTAGCAACATTTGTTTCTTTATTTTGCCTTCCTTAGACTTTATTAGTCAAAATCAAAACCTTCTGGTCCCACAAAGTTGCTGTAGAATATTTCCTTGTTCAGGTTGGACTTGCAGGACTCAGGACATTCTGTCTGGTGCTACTTTATCTGGCCAATTCTAATCAGAGCAACACAAGTTAGCTTTGTATTTTAATCCTTAAGAAGCACTGTTCGCCTTACATTGTCTTGTTGCTCCTAGAGAAGCTGGTAGAGAATTACACTACTAGGGTTGAAAATCTTACCAGTAACAAATGCAGAAACTGTTTCAGGGATAGTTTGGGCATATCTGCACAGTGAACTTGTGCATGAATACAGGTTCTCTGTCAGAATACTATCTTTGTGCCAAGCCCTCATTACCTTAATCACTAAGGTAAGACTATCTTTAAGTGAGGTGTGTGTACGATTGCACCATTTGTGCACAATTTTAACGTATTGGGATTTTCTACTTCTCAGTCACGCATTTTGGAACCAAGCCTAAGCTGCACTGGCAAAACACTTCCTGCAAATTGTCTCCAGCAGAGGATATTACTGGTTTAGTTGTACTTGCCAGTGTTTTTCTGTGTAGACAAGCCTTTGGATCACATACATTAAAAAGTAAATGGAAGATCTTTATGGCTAAGTGAATGAGTAACTTGCATATCTGGAGAGCAAGAAAGGCTTTGGCTGGGTTT